CAATCCAAGTATTATTGGATCAAATTAACTATGCGAGCTTTCGTAATTTGAAAATGAAAGAAGATGAAAATATTATTGAGAAAAGAGTCGGATTCGCATACGAAGGGAACCCTCATTGTATATTACATTAAAAATATACAGAAAATAAACGAGTCCAGTAAAACTAGAGATATAATTTTCTGAATTTTATTTTTTATTGATTGAAAATTAAATCATTCGTCATTTTTTTTTTCATTTTTAATAGAATAATTTTTAGGTTTAAGAGGAACTCGCATCTGGCGATGGTGAGTTTATTTACTTAAATTGTTATTATTAATAATAAATTTATCATACATTTAAACACTCACGTTTCCTTACAACACTAATTGTTTACTTTTAATAATACTTATTTAATATAGTATAATAGTTGATAGATATAACTAAATAACATTTTATACATTAATTTAAATAAACATACACTTAGAAACCGCCAAATGAAGTCTAAGCTTTTAAAACGTCTATAATAATGTACATTCAATAATTTACTTTCATTGATAAAAGGTGATACTTACTTAAACATTTTTATTTAAAAGAGTTAAATTAAAGAAAATTGAACTCAACTATAATAATAATTATAATATTATTAGCTTCTTTCTGATTCATTAAAATTCAAATTTCAATTAAATTTAAGTTAATAATAATAACAACAATCTTTTATTATGATAATTATTGTACTTTTACTATTATGTATTTGATAAATAATAACTAAATAAATGATTACTTAAAAAAACAATTGACAAAAAATAACAATTCTAGTATTTTAAGACTATGAATTTAAAACTTAGATTTTTTTAAAATTTTTGGTGTAAATGTTTAAGATCGTTCGTTAATCGATAACTTTATGTTAACGAAATGTTCTACCATATAGATAGGTACCAGGACTAAAAATTCCAATAAAAGTAGTTTAATTTAAATTTTGAAACTACACAAATAATTTCAGAGACTCACTTTCAGCTCAATTCACCAGATCTTTTACTCTTAATAGAAAACATTTTAAATAACATGTAATCATACTCGCCTATTTAATAGTAATTATACATTATTAATAATAAATATTACGAAACCTTATTAATAAAGCGATGGAGTATAAAATTAGACCTGTAAAATTCCATTAAAATACTTCGTTAAAATCATCGTTAAAATTTAAAATACGCATTTCGGTAAACTAATAAAATCACTGATATAAAACATACCCCTTGTTTACTCACTTAAAATATTGTTCACTCGTGACAAGTGTTTGAACAACTGTTCACTCGTGGCAGCTGAAAATTGAACAACTATTCACTCGTGGCAGCTGACAATTGAACAACTGTTCACTTGTGACTTCTGAACAATTGTTCACTCATGACAATCAAGGTTGCATTTACATTAAATATTACAATAACAATAAAATTAACGTGAATTTTGACTATTCTGACACTATATTTACGGCGGTTAAAATTACTATTTTTACATCGTATAATTATGAAAAATTTAGTAAATTCAAACAATCCGAACCGATAAATAACTAAAAAGTCCTATACAGATTTCGATACATCAAACATCTAGGTACATTATCATCTAAATTTTCCAAAATATTTTTAAATATTCTATGATTCTATGCGAGAATTGCAAAATGGACGTCAGGTATTTGGTACAAGCATTTAAAAACTATTTTAACTAAACTTGCATTGACTGCTACGTTTAAATGAAAGCTAATATTTTACTTCATCAATCAACCAGGCAGTAAATATTTCTGTGCCTTTAATGCAAATTGTTTTTTTTTTACAGTCAATCGGTACAGTTGACACCACAAACCAAGTATCGTATTTTTTATACGTAAACCTGTCAAAACGACACTCCCTCATAGATTGATATTGAAATGCCGAGATATTGCATGCAGTATGAATTTTGCAAGTTTTCAGGGCTAAACAATGATTTTGTGGTATTATTCTGCCCTAAAATTGTTGGTAGTGTCAACTAAAATAATTTAAATAAAAAAATTTACTGCTCTGTAATCAAATGATTAGAACTTCAATATTTTTTATTACTGAGTACCTTACTGATCAGTTAGTTGCTGACCAGTGATCAGTAGGTATAATAAAAAAACCTAATAATTTTTTGTTGTGTTTATTACGTTGTAAAGATTAAAATAAACGATGTGGCATCGATGTATCTTCAGACCTTTGTTGTATAAAATATTTAATATACAACGTGTCCCAAAATTCAAGGATAAGCCGGCGCCGCAGGGTGGACCTAGTCATGACTGCTTTAGGAAAAATAAGAAAAAAAATCTATCTCAATTATTTTTTAAGTTACACAATAAATTATGAAATTCATCGAAAATTGACACCCCTTATGATATTTTACATTACCACGACTACAATTTTTCAAATACTTCAGTTTTTTTTGTTTGTATCGGCAACTTAAGTAGTGCTGCTGTCCACCCCAATTCTTAAAACCCTCAGAATCCTTGCAGTTTTTACACAAAAGTGAATCAAAATATGATATTTCCTTAAAATTTTGAACGATTTTTACTTACACTCCACTTTGACTCGTCGTTTTGTAAAAAAACAGTATGAACACTACTGCGGCAAGCTTTTTATAAAGTTGACGCAACTATCCAAGATTCCGAAATGGTATAATACACTAAGAAAACTAGTCGCAAAAAAGATATGCGTACCATTTTTACAAGCACTTCGCTTGTTAGTTAGTATGGGATAAATCTTGCAACTGAATTTAAAACCAGTTCTCCTTAACCAATTGAGCTGAAATTTGGTATACTTGTGTAAGTACGATGACAATGCAATATTATGGTACCATTGAGCTGGATGGAGTATGGAGGTGACCATAAGAACTCTTAACGAAACGGCGGCATTACATCTAGTTTGGGTTCGTTGGACTTGTCTTTTCGAGCACTTTAGTGCTAGATGATGTTCAGGGTCCTGATGATGAAGTCAAGAGGTGGCAGGAGCTGGCCATAGGAACTCCTAAACGAAACGGCGGAAGCTTATCGAGTTTGGGTTCGTTGGATTTGTCTTCCCGAGCACTTAGGCCATGAGATTGAGAAACAACTAAAAAGCTTAAAATAAAGTTGTAATAAAAAAAACTTATTTAAAAACAAGCTTGACTTCGTTTGAAAATTATAATTGACTTCATCATCAGGACCCTGGACATCATCTAGCACTAAAGTGCTCGAAAAGACAAATCCAACGAACCCAAACTCGATAAGCTTCCGCCGTTTCGTTTAGGAGTTCCTATGGCCAGCTCCTGCCACCTCTTGACTTCATCATCAGGACCCTGAACATCGTCTAGCACTAAAGTGCTCGAAAAGACAAGTCCAACGAACCCAAACTAGATGTAATTCCGCCGTTTCGTTAAGAGTTCCTATGGCCACCTCCATACTCCATCCAGCTCAATGGTACCATAATATTGCATTGTCATCGTACTTACACAAGTATACCAAATTTCAGCTCAATTGGTTAAGGAGAACTGGTTTTAAATTCAGTTGCAAGATTTATCCCATACTAACTAACAAGCGAAGTGCTTGTAAAAATGGTACGCATATCTTTTTTGCGACTAGTTTTCTTAGAGTATTATACCATTTCGGAATCTTGGATAGTTGCGTCAACTTTATAAAAAACTTGCCGCAGTAGTGTTCATACTGTTTTTTTACAAAACGACGAGTCAAAGTGGAGTGTAAGTAAAAATCGTTCAAAATTTTAAGGAAATATCATATTTTGATTAACTTTTGTGTAAAAACTGCAAGGATTCTGAGGGTTTTAAGAATTGGGGTGGACAGCAGCACTACTTAAGTTGCCGATACAAACAAAAAAACTGAAGTATTTGAAAAATTGTAGTCGTGGTAATGTAAAATATCATAAGGGGTGTCAATTTTCGACGAATTTCATAATTTATTGTGTAACTTAAAAAATAATTGAGATAGATTTTTTTTCTTATTTTTCCTAAAGCAGTCATGACTATGTCCACCCTGCGGCGCCGGCTTATCCTTGAATTTTGGGACACGTTGTAGAATCACTAATGTCGCAAAAGCACGATCTAAAATGGCAAATATTTGTACATATCTAAAATGTTATTAATGAAATAAATAAATAAAATACTTACACGTTAAGGAACATTTATGTTATGATACACATTTTAAATATATTATATTTTATATCTAAACGTTTAAAAATATTATGATTTTCAGATATTGGGTAGACGCAACGTTTGACAGTTTTATTATAAAAAGTTATATTCGTTTGAGAGATTCTCAATCTCAAAATCAGGTTCGGTTGCAGATTTTTTCATAGAATATTCATCAATTCCTAGATAATATTATTGTTACATTACAACGACAGGCAGTGTCGAATAGCGTAACAGGGTTTTTATACAAAACTAGTTTTTACTTTTCATTTTTTTTTACTTACTTTTTATATGGATCAATAGTAATTTAATGGACTGGTGATCTCCATTATTAATATGTAGATATTTATTCTCAGCTGATCAGGAGTCCCTTTATACGGCAGTGGTAATATAGTTCCCACCATATTTTGAACTTTATTCCATTGCCTGAAGGTCCAAAAACAATGAAAAATTTGGACTTTTTATGCCCGTTAAAGGCTTAAGAAAGTGAACATTTCTTTCTAAATTGAATATCTTATGAGAAAGTGCAGTTACTGGGCTTAGCCCCAAATATGTTTCAAGATCTTTAATAATCCTCTTTTTTTAGACCATCAAAATATATTATTTACGGCGAGGCGTTTACTTTACGGTGCGGATAAGTGTGCGTTGCAGTACGAAGTTGCAGAGTATACTGACCGCCTCGAGTTGATACGGTTACGACCCGTTTCCGGGTTGATAAGTGTGCTTCGACCTTTTAGTTTTGCTATTGTAAAGCAATTCATCTGCATCACTTACTTTTACGATACTTAAGTACCTACAACAACGACTAACAACAGACGCCCGTTATACATAATTAGTATTAGTATAATTTGTATCCGAGGGTAGATAAAAATCTCAGAGTATTTTGTAAATTTTCGCGGTGTAAAAGAGACGGTTAGCAGTGTGTGAAGAGCTTGAAAAATCCCCTGCCTTTCTCTGGGGCTGGTCCCATCAGCATTGGTACTTGGTTTTTGTGGGTTATCGTTATCTGTAGAAGAATGGAAAAAATCACTAAACACCTAGATTATAAGGTCGCCTGTTCACGTCCACCACTCTATTCAAGCGTATTTAAAACTTCTTAACAACGAATGACTTTTTTGAAAACTGTTTTTAAAAACGAGAGGACGCGAACAGGCGGTGTTACCCTATTTGACAAAGATACAGCTTTAAATAAAGGATTCTAGAAATCTAATTTCCAAACTCCCGTGTTCAAACACGGGATTAAACAAGTTAAACAATAAGTTAAACAATTTTTGCCCGTTCGAATTTTTGTACAAAATAGTAACGATAAACGACATTTCAATTAAAAAAAAAAGAAAGAAAAAATACGTGTTCAATATTTTTTTTATATCTGTCTGACAGACTAAATATTAAAATTTTATCGCTACCGATCTTAGTTTGAAACCACTTTGGTTCTTAAAAAGTAATACTAACCTTGCTCGGCGGCTGCATCCACGGCTCCCCGTCGATTTGCATGGGGAATGTCCTCTTGGTAGTGATGGTGATAGAACTACACTGGGCCAGTCGCCGACCCGATGCACGTAGACCTAAATTATAAGTAAAAGAAAAACCTATGTATTGACTGATACTGATTACAAAATCACCCTGTATTTAAGGCATTTTGGGGCTTTTATTAAATTTCTCGAATAACTAACAATAGGCACCTACCTAATACCTACTGATCACGCGTCAGCTGATCAATTGTACTGAACAGTTATTGTTGTAATGTCACGTATGATCATTAGGTACTGATCTGATTATACAGATCACGCGTCAACTGATCAATTTATTAATTTTATTGTTAGGTAAACAAACAGCATTTTATAACACACATAGAGTTACCATATAAGACACATAATTTTACGGAACAGTTGTTGTAATGTCACGTATGATCATTACTGATTATACTGATCACGCGTCAGTTGATCAAATTACCTACTGATCTGATTATACTGATCACGCGTCAGATAAAATTGTACGGAACAGTTGTTGTAATATCACGTCTGATCATTACTGACCAGATCATACTGATCACGCATCAGTTGATCAATCGTACCGAACAGTTGTTGTAATATCACGTACGATCATTACTAATCTGATTATACTGATCACGCGTCAGTTGGTTAATTGTACGGAACAGTCGCACTTACCTGTCCGCACTTGTCCCATGTGTAGACAGTTCTCTAGACCTATGACTTCGATCAGCTTGTCCCCAATATCTGAAAAACATAAATTCGTCAATGACGCTCCTATAAAGAGGCTTACTAGTTATTATTTACTGATAGACTGGATTTATTATTTGTTGAATTGCCTCTGTGGTCTAGACTAGGAATCCCTATCTTACCAATATCTGTCGCCATAACAATATTATTGTTACGTTTCGACAGTTAGAGGTAAGTTAACTAAAGTGAAAGTCGCTTCCATCTTCGACCTGATCATTACAAAAACATTAGAATAACACATTTTCCATCAGGTGAGATGCAGGCTTAGAACTTCTCCGTTGTGGATAAAAACATTGCTGCCTGACATAAAGGTTGATGATGTTGTCATCTGTCATCCACTTTGCACCGGAGGGAAGTCGAACCGTCACTTCGAACTCCTCCTCCTATGTTCTTCTAATTAATTTCGTTGCGGGTCCAATGACAGTTTAACTTTCCCCCGGGACAAACTTGACCTTCACTGGTTATTATTGGCGGTCAAGCTGTAGATCCTGGCTACACAGGAGTTGCAGCGGTGGGAGCGAGAGGTGGGAATAGTCCCGTATGTTACCTTGCTGTGCGTTAGGGAAGCGCCCCCGCCGATGGGCCCCGCTGGCCCCCCATAGATTGGACCCCCCGTGCGCGTATGGTATATTCAGAAGTGCCACCCCTTGCAGAGCCGGCCCTTTGTTGAGTTCCAGCGATGAGCCGTCACACTGAAAAGAATAATTTTGTTTATTCAAACTGAAATAAATACAGGCGAAGTGTGAATCTAATTGAGGGTTTTGTATCCTCTTTTAGATCCTTACATCTTTTTCCTGCATGGTTAACAGTTTTATTAAAGCACAGTTAGTCGAATAAATTGAACTGATAGCACACAGAACTCCCATACTTAATTTTTGTGCATCTTTACCAATATCTCGACGAAAATGACTTCTCAAACATAACCTTGACTAGTTTCTGTAAGGGCTCTCTCCCACGAGGTCATTTTGCAGGATTTTGTTCACATGTACCGTAAAAAGCCGTTGGCCTTGAAGGATTAATGCAGCATCCCGCAAAACTGGATTGCGGTGGGAAAGGACCTTCAGAAGAATCAGCTACAAACTCACCTCAATATCAATGTGCTCGTGCAAGTTCTTGCAGCTAGCAGCAAACTGCTCTGACGTAGCATACTCGAAGTACCACAGCTTGTTCTTCATGCGGGAGCTGAACTTGTCCGGATTCCGTTCCCGCTCGGTGTGGAACTTCACGCATATTGCCGCGTCCTAAACAGAATAAATAAAATCATCATCATCATAATTTTCTTTTTGTCGTGTCGACAACAAACCTATCATAATTTTAGCCATAAGACGTCCACTGCTGGACAAAGGCCTCCCCCAAGGATTTCCACAACGACCGGTCTTGCGTCACCCGCATTCAATCATCTCCCGCGACCTTCACCAGATCGTCGTTTCACGCAGAGGGGGCCTGTCCCCATGTTTACTATAATACTCCATGTATACTATATTATATTATACTCCATGATACTGCTATAATACAAGTAAGTACTAGAAACTCAGAAACCACTTTACAACGGCGATTGAAGGACGAAGCACACCTATAGAACCCGGAAACGGATCGTAACCGTATCAACTCGAGGCGGTCAGTATTATTTGTATGAAACTCCGTACAGCAACGCACACTTATCCGCACCGTAACGTAAACGCCTCGCCTCGCGGAGAAAGGCTGTACGGTTTTAATGCCTTTCCGAGTTTATAAGTGTGCTATGACCACCGCTTATAATATTGAATTAGTATTAAATTTTATAGAAATTATAGATAAAATTAAAAAGACTTACCACTCCTATAGAAAAGTAGTTATTAATAATGTTGTACGGAACCGTGGTCGGGTGAGAGACGGACTGTGGCAGCTGTGGTAGATCGCACTGAAAAGAAAATATTTGGATTGAACAAACGAATACTAATAAACGAAAGTCCACGTTTTAAAACGATGAAAAGAAACTAAACACAAGAAAAAGAAAGAAAGAAAAATTGTTTATTTGGTTCAAACATAGTAATTTTACACAATTTGGAGTACCTAACTGATCACTGCAGATTTCAGTTACTGATCAGTGATCAGTTGTCATTTTTGCTGTTCAGTTGTACGTTATGTAACTGATCACTGATCAGGTGGAACTTAATATAGTAAAATAGTCCAAAAAAGAAAAGTAAAGTATTAGACTAGTTAAGTATCATAATTTTATTGTCAATTAAAAAATATATATGAAAAAGAAACAAAAATAACAGAATTCAGACTTTACACTATGAATGAATTTTAATATCATTATCATTTTATATTTAGGTGAAAGATCTTTTACCTCCATCGCAGTATTTTCCACGTCAATCTGCCATCGGTCCATCATGACGGTGCTTGCGTGAGCGATCTTGTCTAATATCTTGTGGATCGACTCTCCTTCATACCTAAATGTAACAACAAATTATGTAAGAGCTTTATCATTATACTTTTATGATGACGTAATACATTTCTAAAATTTTGAATGAAAATCTAAGGGCTCTTTCCAAAGGAGACATTCCGTTTTTTGCAAGATTTTTTTTATGCAGGATCCCGTTGACGGCTTTCGATAGGCTTGTTCCCACGGGTGTCATGTATAAACGTTTATTATAACACGTATACCTACTGCTAAACGGAATCCTACAAAAAACAGTCCGTGCAAAAAACGAGATGGCACATGTGCTAATAACCGATCCGTTCGAATTTAGACTTCCAAACGCACACCGTGTTCACACGGAAGTCCAGTTTTGCGCATTACTGGTTACATGTTTTGTAAAAATAAGATTGTAAATAAGATATTATTTTGTAATGTAAGATTTTTTTTGTAAAAATAAGACTGGATCCTTTAATTTTTTTTGGTAATTAAGTTAACTTACCCCCCACCCCACCGCAGACATCGCGCCAAATCGTTCCCCGTACCTAAGGGGATCACCCCCACTGCAGGCTGCGTTTCCATCTGAACCTTATCTGTAACGAAAAAGAGTCCAAATTTCAATACTCGACTCGGTAGTTAATGCCACGGCTATACTTTGGGTGCATTTCGTCAAAAGTTGGCTCCTAAGAGCAACCAATATGTTTTTGTTATCCACAACGAAGAAGCTCTTGGCCTGTATCTCAACTGATGGTAAGTGACGATCAGGCCGAAGGTAGAAGCGAGCTTCACCCGGAATCCTCAACCACGGAGGAACTGGCAATCTTACCTCTAACTGCCGAAACACAATAATGCTGTTAACATTGTTTTTATGGCGATTGGTAGCTAGCCAGGCGGACTTAGAACAAGCCCTACCACCACACAAAACGGACAGAAAAATCTGCCCCCACTGGGAATCGAACCCGGGACCTCTGCGTCTGAAGCAGGTGATCTTACCACTAGACCACAAAGGTGGTTTTGAGAATTTTGTACTTCTATTCGAGACTACACTACACTTTTCAAAATGTGCGAAAGTTAAGGCCATAGCACACTTATCAACCCAAACACAGATTAACACCGTACTTATCGCCTTTCGCTGGGAGACGAGGCGTTTACGTTACGGTGCGGATAAGTGTGCGTTGCAGTACGGATTATACAAAGAATACTGACCGCCTTGAGTTAGCTAATGATCCGTTTGCGGATTGATAAGTGTGCTTCGTCCTTTATGTCTTCCAATGGATCCTCAAAATATCAAGAATGATTGTTAAAATAACTTGAAAAAATCGAACTGCCTAAGGTAGATGTAGATATATTGAGAGACACACACACACACATTACACACACTACCTCAGTTACTTTTTGTTTAGTTTTGTTTAGTCTAAGTTAAAAATATTCTTTAATAACTGTTAATTGCCATGTATCGTGTGTCCTCACTATATTTTATCAACATTGTTAACCTGTGTTACTTAAGGCTTGGTATTTCTTCTAAAGTAGGTATTTCGCGCTGTCAAAATCTGCGCGCGCAATTCTTCGCCGAAAACAGCGCGTCAAAGAGCTCCCGCCACAATTTCCAGCTACACAGTATAGAAATACGCAGTTGGTTAGGTTAGGTTGACTTCCTTCCCTTCAAGCGTCACACTCACAACACTTTCTAATAGAAATCATATCCAAGTGATACAAATTAAAACACCTTTCAGACTTTTTGGGAATATATTCTAGAATCGAATAAATATAAAATAGGGGAGAGTTCGGTATATTGTACCGCCGGGTAAATTGTACCACCCTCATATTTCGTAAAGTATTTATTGAATGTCTGTAATTGCAACACTCAGCGATACACAACTAAAATAAATTAATATCGGCCATGTGTTTTTTGCCGTGACAACAAACACGTGTGTTTTATTTTGAAAAGTATTTTTTCATTGTTTTCAAGTAACTTTTGACAATACATGTTTAGTTTGTAATTTTGTTAAATTTAACCACAGGGTGTTTCTAGTATATTATTTAGAAGCGTAAATTAGTGTGGATTACAATTATTTGAAACATTTTTCCGTATTTATGAGCTATATTTTTTACCGATTTTTTAAAAGCACTATCACCTAGTCGGCTAAATTGTACCACACCAAGTTGTATAGAACTTTACCAAAGGATTTTGAAATTTTTTTAGTAAATCATATTTTGAAGTTATAATAGCGTAGTTATGTTTGACTAACAATAAATATCAAGTTCTGAAATAACTTGAGGTGTTGTACCCGATCAAGCTTTTCATTGCAGGACAGTTAAATAGTTTTATTATTAGTGTCTTCTCTAAGTCTTAGTTTGTCAGAGTAGGTAAAGGCTCCATGAGAGCAAAATTTAGCTTTATAATAGTTTTTAATTTTTTTCTTGAAATATTTGACGCCTTGTAATCTCTTGTAATCTCTCGTTAATATAGGTCCACACAAATAAAGAATGTTTGACTTCGACTTTAATAATTATGCTCTTACATAATTATAAATAAACTAGCTTTCCGCCCGCCGCTTCGCCCGCGTGGAAGTTTTTGGTTTTTATATAACTTATTACACTCAGATATAATGTGGCTTTCTATTGGTGAAAGATTTTTTAAAATCAGTTCAGTAGATCCCGAGATTACCCCTTACAATTTATTAACAAATATACAAACACACAAACTTTACCTCTTTATAATATTAGATTATAGATAGGTAATTTGAAACTTTTTCCACATTTTTTAACATAGTAACTAAATAAGACGCAATATAAAAATTTCATCCGTTAAAAGCCCTCAAGTTATTTCTGAACTTTAGTTTAGTAAAAGATTCAGAATCTCAAATCGCTTATTTTAAAAATAAAACCATTATTAGAAAACGAATAGAGGCAACTTTGGGAATTTATTCTATCGAGTCAACTTCATCAAATCGTGTTTCCATCCGTTAATAGCCCTAGAAAATATCCTCAACTATGCCCAAAAAAAATCTTAGCCTTTTATTTTACTGTTTAGTACCTCAAAAATGAAAAATGAAAACCTCATTTTCGCCATTTTCTCTGTTACCCGGCCTTAAGGCTGCCGCGACACAAGCACAGCTTAGTGCAGCAGCCGCTAGATAAACAGACTGTAAATTTTTTGCTGGCAAATAAAATACTTTTACTTTTTTTTACTTACTTTTTAGATAAGATCGAGACGCGACTCTTAACGTCAGAAAAATTTTAATAACCATCAGGAATGGTGATGATCCCCCTGGTTGGGAGTGACACCATAATCTTCAGGTAATTCAGTCTCCACTGCAGGAGTATGACCCTCTACTTTACCAGAGGCAAATGGAGGATTTGGCCTACACTCCCCACGCTGGCCAGACGGGTTGGGGAGGCCTGATGTTCACGTTTTATCCCTTAGTCTTTTTACTCGCCTCTTACGACATCCAAAATAAGAGTGGGATTGATCTTCTTTACCAGAACCTCGCACCATATTGGTGGTAACACAATATTTTTTCTTGGAAAGAAGGAGTAAAATCACCCGACGACCTGATAGTAGCAGGAAGGCGCTGGATGCAGGCCGCTACCAACCGTGCGATGTGGAAGTCATTGGGGGAGGCTTATGTTCAGCAGTGGACGTCCTGTGGCTGAAATGATGATGATGATGATGAAACTCACCCATAGTCTCTAGCACCCAACCGACGGTGCCATCACCACCGCAGCAAATAACGCGGTAGCTTTTCACGTCTTTGAACATCTGGAGACCTGCAACCAAGGTTTTCGACTTAAAACTTTAGGTAATAAGATCATCCGCTTTGCCTGGAAGGAAGTCGAACCCTAACTTCGAACTCCTTCGTTCTTCTGATTAATTTCATTGCGGGTCGAATCACAGTTTAACTTCAAAAGAAACAGTTTAACTGAAATAATAAAAAGATTATGAGACATGTAGAGGCTCCTTAAGAGCAAAATATTTGACGATTCGTAAGCACTATATAATAGTCTATGCAAATAAAGAAATTTTGACTTTGACTTCCCCTCGGGACAAACTTTACTGGTTGGGTTATTGGCGGTCAAGCTGCGGCTAGCTAGCTGTAGATCCTGGCTACACAGGAGTTGCAGCGGTGGAAATGACAGGTGGGAATAGTCCCGTAGGATTATACGAACGAAAGATTGGTATAGTCCCGTAGAACTCTATTGAACAAGAATAGCCTTGTCCCATAAAATTGTTAACTAGACCTTAGCATTTTGTTCTTTCAGGCATAATACATAGGTACAATAAAACTATAATCTTCGCGTACTCGTATCTATGTTGCAAGAGGGAGGGGGAGGCCTATGTTCAGCAGTGGACGTCCTGTGGCTAGTGTTGCCGATCGATAGACGACTATCGATAGTATCGATACTACTGTCGATACTATCGATAGCTCAAAACGAGGCAATACTATTGAATATGTGCAATACTATCGATACTATCGATAGTATTGTTGCTCATGAAGAATAAACTATCGATAGTATCGATACAATCGATTGTTCTAGCTAGACTATCGATTGTTTTACAATAGTATCTTTTACAATATTTGGGTAGCTTTTTATTCAAAAGCGACAATACTATCGATACTATCGATAGTTTATTCTTCACGAGCAACAATACTATCGATAGTATCGATAGTATTGCACATATTCAATAGTATTGCCTCGTTTTGAGCTATCGATAGTATCGATAGTATCACAGTATCGATACTATCAATAGGCCAATCGATAGATAAGGCTTTTTCAGATTCGGCAACACTACCTGTGGCTGAAATGATGATGAATCTATGTTGGCAACTTACCCTGCATAGGGCCTCCTTTAGCGATGTCATGGACCTGCCTAGGGTTCAGAATGTACTGCAGCTTCCTTAGTACCCTGGACCCTTGCCGTCCCCCTGACTTGGGGTTGATGAAAACCAGTAAAGGACAGCTGCCATCTGGCGGCGTGATTTGGAACGAAATGGGCGGGGCTCGGTGTTCTTTTTTCTCTTCTTTCTTCTCTTCTGGAGGTGCTGAGATGGAGATAGGCAGCGATATTGAGGTGGGGATTGATTTCTGGAAAGAGATAGTTGATTCATTTATGGTATTACAGCTTTTTGATTCATAAATGAGCGTGTCGAGAGGTGGGGTGTATTCCGCCTTAGGCAGTTCGATTTTTTCAGTTATTTATAATTTAGTTTGAGCGACTCTAAACGCTAAGAAATTTTAATGACTATTGAATGAGCTGGTTTATCATAACTGACAGTCAAATATTTGTTGGATGTATGATGGTACTTCCAACCACCGCGTTGTTGTTGGGCCGTAACAGCGTAAGTATTACACTTGTAAATGGACTGGTTCATTCAGTGTCTAAGTAGCTCAGATGGAAGAGCTAGCCTAAGTAGCTCGTCCGTTAAGCGAAAGGTCCGTTAAGGTCGTGGGTTGGTTTCCCGCCTTAGGCAGTTACATTTTTTCGAGTTATTTATTTATAATGTACCCGAGTTTGCAGAGTGTACCTGTGTATATGGGTGATTTGCTACTGTACCCACGTATGCTACTGTACCCGCACGTGCTATTTGTACCTGCGTGTGCGGCGCGTGATGCGGTAGCGATCGCTGGCGGTCCAACACTAGTGGGCGGATGGCGGTGGGCGGCAGGATGTGGCGCGCGTGCCGCCCTAGCTGGCACGTGCCGCCCGCTGAACCCACGCAGCGGTTGTGCAGCTGTAAATAACATATTAACATACTGACAGTAAATTAACATACTGACAGTAGCTTCACAGTTCATTTATGAAAACCTTTTATATGTCCGCAAAAATATAGAGCAATTCACGAAAAAGAGCGATTTGCATAACTTTAATACAAGAAACAAAAATAAACTTGCCGTTCCAAATTTCAGATTGCATAAGATTGGTAATTCATTTATGGGAAAATGTATTAAATTCTTTAATAAATTACCACAAACTGTTGTAGAACTACCCATTCATAAATTCAAAGCACATATTAAAAGTACCTTAATGAAAAAGGGCTACTATAAAGTCGATGATTATTTAAAAGATAAAAATGTTTGGGATACTTTACTGCCTAGCTCGCATAAATATTTATAACTTTGTACATTTTAAAGCATGTAAACCTTTGAAAAAGAGGCTGACAATAGTGACTGAGTTTCTTGCGCTGCTTCTTCTCAGCACTGGCCCATTTATTGTCCTGAAGCAGTGGTAGGGTTAATACTGGGACGTGTAAAAGTGCTTTTTTTAAGCCTATTTACAGAAATAAATGAGTTTTAATGAGTTTTANGTGGTAGGGTTAATACTGGGACGTGTAAAAGTGCTTTTTTTAAGCCTATTTACAGAAATAAATGAGTTTTATGAGTTTTTATAAACAACTAAAAAAAACATACGGGTCGAATTGAGAACCTCCTCCTTTTTTTGAAGTCGGTTGAAAACCGCCTCTGTGGTCTAGTGGTATGACCATCTGCTTCAGACGCAGAGGTCCCGGATTCAATTCCCAGTGGGGGCAGATTTTTCTGTTCAGTTTGGTTGATGGTAGGGCTTATTCTAAGTCCGCCTCGCTAGTTACCACCATCTTACCTAAGTCTGTCGCCATAACAACAATGTTAGCAGAATTGTTGTGTTCGATCAGTTAGAGGTAAGAAAGCCAGTTCCTCCGTGGTTGAGGATTCCGGGTAAAGCTAGCTTCCACCTTCGGCCTGATCATCACTTACCATCAGGTGAGATATAGGCCAAGAGCTTCCTCGTTGTGGATAAAAAAAAACCGATACTAAAAACAGTTACACCCCGCAGTTTATTATACAGACTTTTTGTTGCCGATAGTGTGGTAAGGCTTTTAATCAGTATGAAAAAATATAATACACACATTATATCGATTTGGTATCTGCCAATAGTATACAAATTAGAACTAACTATTATCGGTCGACAAAAATTCCACAGTCTGCGGGGACTCTAAAAATTGAAAAATTGTGTTCAGCGAATTTTACTCACTGAAAATCTTTCTTCTGGATAACCATGATTAATAATTTTTTTACTACTTTTTTTTACTAAAAGGAGTACTCTTAGGTTAAAGTACTCTTGACTTTTATTGCTGTTTTTGGTCATTTTTACTGTTAGGTATTTCATCTAGTATGAACTTTCAACGGTTATTTTTTGGTCTTAGCACAAGTTATAAGTGAAACTTACAGTGATGTGACACCACCGACAGTGTAGGCCTGTGATGCCGTTGTACCCTTTTATCTTTTTTCGACACCGCGCGCATTTTCCGTGGCAGTTACCTGAAAAAATATATTTTCTTATTTTTAAATACCGGAATCGATATAAGTTGAGATGATGATGAGTCGAGCTGAGGCGAGGTGGGACGAGATGTGATGATTGTGATATGAGACGAGATAACATGAAAACCTCTATAAAAACAACTGGAGGGGATTGGAGGTTCCCTCAAAGCTCAGGCTTCGGACGAATGTCCGAGCTAGGACAATAACTCGCGGCACCATTTCATTGGACTCCGGTGGAAATCATCGGATTTTAGTAGTGGGTAGGCCCCGCCTTTAGTAATCAGACGGAGTGTCCCAAATAACCCACAGGCCGTCCCCATCGACTACTTGGTACGCGCAAAGCATTTCCCGACGTTAAAAAAAGACGAAACCAGATGAGAGGAAATGAGACGTAATGAGTGAGACTAAATAAGATGAGATAAAACAGAAGTCTTTCTTAGTTATTTGATACTTGACAAGTAGTTTAAAGTCTGTGGCTATAATTTGAAAGATATTCTACACCTACCTTCGACCCAATGATGCGCTAGCGCAGCAGACGCGCGCTTCGACTTGGAATATGTCGCGATGCACGACGCCGGCGCGCGTTGCACGCAGCGCTCGTGCACTGTGAACTTGCAGACTGGAAAACAAATATTTTCTAGAAAAATCTGGACTAGAAATCGAGTTTAGGATATGTTTTTTTCCACTTTATTACATTTTAACCGGAGTGAAACTATCAGGTTTTATCTACTGGACTATTCCCACCTTCCGTTCCCACTACACCGCTGCAACTCATGTGTAGCCACAGGGATTACTAATGTTTGGCCAAAAAACGTTTCCCAAATTATCACATCGCAAACAACGTTTCGCAAATTTTTATTTGGCAAATTCTCATTTGGCAAAGCAACTTATTGCAAACTTTTAATTCGCAAATGTCGTTTTCGGCATATCATTGTTTAGCAAATTATTGTTTGGCAAAGTATGTATTGCCAAATGTTTCATTTGGCAAAAATATTTCACGATAAACTATTTACAAAATAATTTGATTGGTGCATAGAATGCATACAAATTAGCTTGTGGTTATTATTTTATTTAGTGGGTAGTTAATATAAAATTTGTTCTTAATTAATTTTCTTATTTCATTCTCTTTATCGAAATTTCCAAATGATTCATTCACAATAGAGGTGATTCTAGCACTCGGCGGCCGCTGCCGCGGCACGCTTCGCTCGCCTTCGCGCATTAAGGGTCACTGTTCTTTAACCTAACCTACTATTTTCTGCAATACCTACTTTTTGCAACCATACCATTTTCTGAAATCTCTTTGTGTTACATAAAATTCTTGTGAAAACCATGATCATGTGCCTTATGCTTTGATTTGTGGGTAACGGTGGGTAGTTATGTGAAGTGTCAATTTGACCAAACAAATTATTTGGGATATAATATTTGGCAAAATAAAACATTTGCTATATAAACATTTGCCAAGTAAAATTTTACCAAATGATAATTTGACGAAATGAAATAGTTGCGAAAAGAACAGTTGCTAAAAGTTCATTTGGGAAATGAAACTTTGGCGATAAGTTGTTTGCGAAGTGAAATTTGGCGAAAAGTAATTTGGCCAAACGGAAGGATACCGTAGCCACAGCAATATTAATCTACAGCTTAACCGCCAATAAAAACCCAACCAGTGAAGGCCAAGTTTGTCCCGGTGGAAAATTAAACTTTCATAGGACCCGCAACGAAATTAAACAGAAGAACATCGAAGAGTTCGAATTTTTTTTTTATGCATAACAAGACAGGTATTTAACCGCAATCGCACTGTTAAGTGAGATGCAGTCTAGTTAGGGAACATGAACATACACTAGCATAGCCACATATTAAATACAGTGCATTTTGTCAAGCAAGTTTGTGATCGACAGTTCAATCTTATTACATCTACTAAGCCTTAGCAAAATAAAGACAGAACCCATAGATTCTAAAGGTGCAAATCAAAATGAGCTCTACTCACATATACAACAGAGTCCTTTCTTGCCGAGCCCGACCAGCATGTTAAGACACAGATTGCAGTACGCCGGCCGGCTGAAATGCTTCAATCGCCACGCATGTTCCCCGTCCTCTTTCACATTCGTATCCAAGCCCAATAGGACCAGCAGTGGGATTGTGGTCATTCTGGAAGAAAACAAACAATATAGGGTGTAATTTTTATGAGCCATATTTGACACGTTTGTGTTTTGGCTCGTGTAATATTACACATGGAATTGTCCCCCAGATCCGTTACTTCAACTTGGCTTGACACGCTACCGGATTGCACTACTCAAATACAAACTACTTATCCTACAGTACTAATATCAAATTCTTTAAAAAAATTTGGTCTTCATAATAAATGAGAGTACTGCTGATGACAATTTGTACGGAAAGCTTAATTTTTTTTAAATATTTGAATTTCGGTCCTTTGAGGAGAGTTGTTGCATTTGAGTAGAAGAAGCAACCTTTCTGTTTGACCAGATATAAAAATGACATCCTGTGTACATACGAGTACGGGTCATGTGGTTACTTCTAAGGTAGAATAGGGCAGGGTAAATAATATTTGGAATGTGTTTAAGAGCCGTGAAAAGGGCCCACTTACTAATAAACGGTAAGTATCAAAGAATCAAACTCACCCTCCTCTTTTCCATTCATCCAGTGAGACGGTGCCATCAGCATCGTAATCAATCTCCACCATCATGTCTTGCAGAATCTAAAAATTACATCAATATAATTAAATCCTTTTATAAGCACATCAGACAGACTATGATACATGTATGATCCAAAGTAGCACTTTATACTGCGAGAAATATTACAAGAAGCCCTGCCAGTCTAGGATGCGCGCCGTGATAAATTCTTAATCGATGATTTTAGACGTCAGTGTCCTTCTTGTAATCCTTCCATCCTAAGCCTACTGATGTACATGCCGTTAGAAATGTTCAGGTGACGTTATTACTGTTCAACAGCGCAGCTTAATGCCAATGATGGTTATAATAATATTATAGATGATATACTATTATCATTCTATTAAATGGTAAATAGTGAATGCCAAAGTAGATAAAAGATAAACTCACAGGCCTCAATTCCGAAGTCTCCCAGCCCAGGTACTCGGCGACGGTCATCATCTGGTTGACGATGCAGTCCATTTCGTTGGTGTCCAAGACTCCGTTCCCGTCGGTGTCATACAGACGGAACATGACTGGCAGTGAAATACATTGAGTTAGCTCACATTGAAAGGAGTTGGGTACAGTAGTGCGGAATTCCAGGGTACAACGGGTGCAACTTGTCTAATTCCAGGGTACAACGGGTGCAACTCGTCTAATTCCAGGGTACAACGGGTGCAACTCGTCTAATTCCAGGGTACAACGGGTGCAACTCGTCTAATTCCAGGGTACAACGGGAACAACTCGTCTAAGGGCTTATTCTCATGCAGACATCCCGTTTTATGCCGGAACTGTTTTTTGCAGAATCCCCTTTAATATGTATTTTAAATAATTTTAATATTAAAATTTACAAGAACACCCTGTTTGCAATATCCTGCAAAAAACCGATCCGTTCGAATTTGGAATTCGAATTTCAACTTGTTTATACACACGACAGTTCAGTTTTGCGAGATCCTGCTTTACTGAATCCCGCAAAACTGGATTGATGCCGTGGGAAAGGGCCCTAAGTAATTCCAGATTGTAGGCCAGGTTTACATCAAACGTGCTCACTAGTGAGCGCGTTAAAAAAATATATGAATAGTTCTTCAAAGTTTCCGCTAGGGGTGCTGTACAATCCGTGATACATTTAATGTAAATTTTTTAAGCGCTCACTAGTGTGGACGTTTGATGTAAACTCACACTTAGCCCTCAGATCATGCTCCTACAATGGAGACTAAATGACCTGATGATGATGATACTTACATTCCAGTTTGTCTTCAGGCCTGCCAGCTTCCAGCAAGGACAGGTAGCAGACGATATCCTTAAGGGATACCCGCGCGGTGTGGACTTCTATAGTGGACGGACGACGCATGAGGTGCTTGAAGTCTGGAAAAAAATGATAAAAAAAAATTCACTCGAAAATAACAAACTATGAAATAATGGGGTAACTAAATGATCCTATGATGATAATGATGATTGTCAGCTTTCTTCATAAGATGAAGAAGATGGACGCCGCGAGTCGCCATTCTGCTTATGACCACGGCTGCAGCATAGCTTCTCTATTTTAGTTGAAATGGAAACCGTAAGTTTAAAAACTTCGTTCTCCATGGCACTCCTTATGAGTTTATACAACGGAGTTTGTTCTTCTGATTAATTTCGTTGCGGGTCCAATGACTGTTTAACTTTCCCCCGGGACAAACTTGATCTTCACTGGTTGGGTTTTTCTTGGCGGTCAAGCTGTAGATCCTGGCTACACAGTATTTGCAGTAGTGGGAAAGAGAGGTAATAGTCCCGTTTTTATGAGTTTATTATGTCCAAAAGTAGACTGCAATTGGTTCAAATGAGAATGCAAAAGCAAACATCGTGCCTCCTCAAGTCGTTTGACCATCGTAAGAAGTTTAGGCCATATACCCCATTTATCATTACGGCTACAAACGTTCACTGCTCCTCCAATGACTTCCAGCTTTGCCGATTGGAAAAGAAGTGAATTCTCCATTTGCCTCTGGTAAATTAGAGAAGATCCCCCTGTAGTAGACTAAATAACCTGAAGAGGATTCTTACCAGTGTGTATTTGATGAAAAATTAAGACCCAATACTTATACTGAACTGTCCTATCCCGGATAGGCTATCCGTGACATTGACAGCGGGGCGCCACCGTCAATACCGGATCACTGGTTCTGATTTTTGCCATGTTGGAAACTATTATGTATAGTTGAACGATATGGTGGCGTCTCCTTGAGTTTGGTGGGACAGTTCAGTTTCGGTCATCTGTACCATTTGATGCTCCTTATTCGAATATTGCGGACAGCCATTTGCTGAAATGACATTGACAAACATTGTACCCTTGCCATGTCTTCTTGACAACTGACTTTCGATCTTATTGGACTGGTTGACGCGCAGCGAGTTGCTGCTCTTCCGACTGGAGTTCCTGGACATCTGGCTGTGGCTGGGACAGGTCTCATGGCGCCGCTCCAGGCACAGCTCGTGCGAGGATGAGGCGACCCTCATTAGAAGAGCAAGGTCTTTGATCCATACTTACCAGTGTATTTTAATGAAAGATGTTCGTACTATTTGGATTCTGAACTAAGGGGTCTCCCAAGGATTTTTGCAACGACCGGTCTTACGTGACCAGCATATAGATACTTCCCGAGACTCACCAGATTGTCGATTCGTGCTATTGGCGGTCTTTGAGAGAATCTTCAGTTTTAAAAGACGATCACTGCTAGTCTGCTAAACAAAGGCATCCCCCAAGGCCTCCCTCTGTGGACTCAATGTAGGTCCTTACGGATTCTCCTCTTGGTCGGCACTCGAAAAGTCTTCTGCCCCAACGGCCATCAGTACCACGAGCAGCGTTGCCAGACGTCCCGATTTTGGCGGGACGTCCCGATTTTTAAATCAAATTTAAATGTCCCGCGCGGGACAGGCACTGTCCCGCTTTTCGGAGAGAGACACTCACTTCACCAGGCTATTGTTTGAAACGCCATATTATTCTAAAGAATAATTTTTTTATTTCGATTTTTGTTTCTTTTTCTTTTTTTATTCTAAAGACGAATTTAACGATAGAGTAAATCTGATTTAAAATATTATTTTTTTGTTAAAATACATTTTCTATGGCTACTTTTGCTATCTGTTGTCACGTAAACGTAATTTTAAGTCAAATAAAAGGATAAATATTTGAAAACCTTTGATTATTTACGTTTTTTTTACTATGTCCCGCTTTTGACGGAAGAATCCCGCTATTTTCACTCAAAAAGTACCAAAGTCCCGACTTGGCGAAAAAAAAAAACTGGCAACGCTGACCACGAGCTATGTGCCCTGTCCATTTGCAACTTATGTTTGGCAATTCTGCGGGCTATGTTACTTTAATCCTCCTACAGATCTCCTCATTTCTGATTCGAATCTTTCAGAATCGGATTGAAATTGGCTAAAATGACAATACATTGTCCTCTTTGCTCACTGACCTTCGATCTTGGTGGACTGATTGACGCGCAGCGAGTTGCTGCTCTTCCGACTGGAGTTCCTGGACATCTGGCTGTGGCTGGGACTGGTCTCGTGGCGCCGCTCCAGGCACAGCTCGTGCGAGGAGTACGAAGGGTGGGTGGTCACGGTGAACATCGGGTGGACGCTGCCTGTTGAAGAAATTCAAGGTCAAACCCACAGATCACAGAAACTAAAGGAAGATGTGACAAGGGGGCGGGGCAGGTGTCGCAGCAATATGCCCAAAAACGGAACACATTGCTCGCTCATGTAAGCAATGATGACAGCAGCAACGTCATAATGTAAACAGTTTACTTTGATTGCGGAGAATTAAAGATTATTGCGGAGTATTAAAGACGCCCGTATTCACAAACATTACTATAGGTACTCTTACGGTCAGCTATTACGGTCTCCCAGTGCGCGTGGACGCACGAACCAATCACAGAGCTGTGCGTTCAATTTGCTGCTTCACTTAAAAAGCATCTTTTGTGAATACGGGCGTGAGATTGAATCTAATTTTGAGCGTTGTTTTGTAATACGGACCTAGGTAAGTGAGGTTAGGACTATTGAATGAAATAAAGCTGTTATTGTTTACCAGTTCTACTCCTAGATCCTTTGTCGCTGCCATCGACGGAATCCCCAGAGCTCTTGCCCAGCTGCTGCAGCCTCTCCGCCAGGCCGTGGATCTTGGAGGCCAGGCTCAGCTTGCCCTGGAAAGGATGATAACAATAACATGGATAAGAATCCGCATTCACTGGCAGCAAAGTACAGTTACACCTCAGCCTCACCTTATCTTCGTTCGTTCGTCCGTGTCAGCCAAATATCGTCCACTGCTGGACAAAGGCCTCCCCCAAGGTTTTCCACCTTAGCTTACCACCTAAAAACTTATGAGTTAAGTCTACCGCCCTGACTTCAGCCTACTCAGCCTACTGGTAAATCCGCCAACTTTAAGGAAATGGATAGTTAACACTGTGGCCGATAGTACATACATACGCTACTAGTCAAGTGATGTGGCTTTATCAAGAGGTCTCAATGCAGTGCACTAGCAACTGGAATACACATAGTCTTACCTGATGGTCAGCATGGGCCGTGACAGCGGCGCACGCGGCGGCCGAGCTCGCCGCCGCCATCTCACGCAGCGCCGGGCGCCGGTCGCGGCGCACGAACGAAAGGAATAGGTGTCTGGAAGCATTGGGGAGCAGTTACAATGTATTACACAATGTTGCCAATAGATGGCGTTGTATATGTTTTGATCGCGCGGATTGCGCCTCATGAACGACAGGAATAGGTGTCTGGAAGCATTGGGGAGCAGTTAGCAAAGAAGTTAATTACACAACTGCCAATAGATGGCGTTGTATATGTTTGAACCCCGCGGATCGCGACGCACTAATGACAGGAATAGGTGTCTGGAAGCAGTAGGGAGCAAATGACAAAGAAGTTAATTACATAACTCGCCAATAGATGGCGTTGAATATGTTTGAACCGCGCGGATTGCGACGCACGAACGACAGGAATAGGTGTCTGGAAGCATTGGGAAGCAGATGACAAAGAAGTTAATTACACAACTCGCCAATAGATGGCGTTGTATATGTTTGAACATTTTGTAATATGCACTGTATTACACAATGTTGCCTATAGATGGCGCTGTACACATTTAAAACGCGCAAGCGTTTGATCAATCAAAAATACAGAATATTCTGAATATGATTTGAAAGTTGTAGATATTGTGTTGTTTTCTAAAGTTGGGTTTTCGAAATAGTTTAGTAAGTTTTTGAAGAGGTAAGTAGGAAAGGGCAGCTGTTGTAAAAAGGAAATAAATTACCCCAGAAACCCAACATAGTTTATACAGGATGTCCCAGAATGGGTGAATCAAACTGCTAGGGGAGGTAGCTCTACTAAATAGTAAACTTCATTAGTAGAACTACCTGGGGAGGTAGCTAGGGGTAGCAGTTTGATTTACCCATTGTGGGACACCCTGTATGTAAAACTACATAGTGATTTTGATTGATACTGACCTGGTGAGCTCATCAGGAGTGGACACCTCGAGGAAGGTGTCCAGAAACCACCGGAAGCCTTCATAGTCGATGTCCTGAAACAAAAAATAGTCTTTTAAACAATAGTAAAACTCATTAACACCTTCGCTGCGGCAGTAACTTTCTAATACTTTCCATTCCTTCGGTACAAGGTCAGTAAACCTGGTATTAAAACTTACATTGTGGCGGCACAAGGCTTAAAGACCTTGTAATATTTAAGATATATTAATTTTATTTTTGGCTTCATGTTAATAGATATTGTGTTTTTTTTCTTTGAATATTAATAATAATGCATTTATTGACATACACCTGAAGGCGTTTGTGAATAACTTGTTTAGTATTAAAATTATAGCTATATTCAAAATACAAGGCTTATGCACCCTGTGCCGCACTGCAGTAGGGAAGTCTGGTGGGTATACTAGGGATGTGAAATACGAATATCGATAGTTTAAATTAAGTTTTAATAAAAATTTAAAAAAGTAACAAACAAAGATGTTTTAATAATTTAGTCTAAATATTTTACAAATAAGACATACGTGCATAAATACTTTAATAAGCTATACTTAAAGAAAACATTATTTAATAATATTTAGTTACAACTTCAAATGTTTGTCACGAAAAACATTATTTAAATTACCAATAAATCGTGTAGCAAATTAAATTATAATCAATTTGCAGTTTTGATTTTGTTTGTTTCTCTTGACGCCCTGTCGACATGTGCGTTTCTTACGAATGCGAGGCAACACTGGCTGCACGAAGCTAGCGTGGGGTGCGGTACCAGGTGCGCAGGGTACAAGGTGCTTCGACCTGGTTTCGCATGGATTTTTGGGGTTTCCTACAGATTGAAAGACAATCGCACCCCCCACCCCCCCGTATCATGACATAGACCGCAGATTTGCCATGCAGATGTGCCAGGGAGTACTAATCTGCGCGACTTGTGTCACCCCCTGATGCTTGGCACCCGGGGCGGAGCGCGTCATCGTTTGTGAATACGGGCGTAAGCAAGCATCGTGAAGCAGCAATGCTATGCGAATTCGAACGCACAGCGATAAATAAAGCTCTGTCATTGGTTCGTGTGTCACTCCGCCACTCGAGTATTGTCTATGAATAGGTTTTTGGGACCCTGTGCGTCTACGAGCACTGTGAGACCTCATAGTAAAATTTGTGAATGTTTGTTGCGGCGCTTCTTCTCAGCACTTGCCAAATGTTGGTCTCGAAGCGCTGGTAGGGCAAAAAGAGTATGAGACATTTAAAGGCTCCATAAAATCAAAACAAAGTTTTTTTTTTTCCTGAAATATTTGACGATTTGTAAGCACTGTTAGTCCATAAAAATAAGACATTTTTTAAATCTTTGACCCTTACAGCCTAGCTATGCATGTATGCTTTCAGTGTGATTCACGCGCGTTTTCACAAACATTACTATGAGGTCTCACAGTGCGGATGGACGCACAGGGAGACACATGACCCAACCACAGAGCTCTATTCAACGCTGTGTGTTCGATTTGCTGCTTCACTTAAACAAGTATCGTTTTTGAATACGGGCGCCAAACCCTCGATAGAAGACCTTTTTACTCGAACCACTCAATTAAATTCACAAGAACCTACTTATTTTGTTTGTCAAATTCAAACAAAATCAACGCCGTAGAAAATTTCAAAGAGTAAACATCGATGTATCGGAGGACACACCTTCAAAATCAATAAACTTCAGTCTTGATTCTACCTACACTAAAAATAGCACGGGATTAGGCCCGGACTCCACCGAAGCGGAGAGCGGAGATTTTTATTAATTTAATTACTAATAGCAGGACGACGACATCGTAAAGGTAGCAGGGAAACGCTGGACGCAGGCCGCTACCAATCGATCAAGGTGGAAAGCTTTGGGGGAGGCCTATTTTCAGCAGTGGACGTCCTATAGCTGAAATGATGATGATGATGATGACCAGGACGACGAAGCACAATGATGTTGTCGTGCTTACCGTGCTGAACAACTGCATGCAGGAAGATTTAGTGAATACTACTGACTAAAATCTGGAGGTGCCTGGATGCGGGCGGTCTAGGACCGGTCTTTGTAGAAAACCTTGGGGAAGGCCTTTGTCCAGCAGTGGACGTCTTTCGGCTGAACAAACTGACTCGCATCTCCGATTCCATAAAAGTATGACACATCTCCGCTTTTCATCAAGGCGGAGCGGGGCGGAAAAGTTTTTGAATAACCAATCAGATTTCATTATTCAGAAAACCAGGAAATATGATTGGCTATTCTAAAATTTCTCCACTTTGTCCGTTCTCGTATAGCATTGGAAGAGTCAATTTTTTTCTATAGACAGAGGAGGTGGAAATAATGAAATCTGATTGGTTATTCAAAACACTTCTCCGAAGCGGAGAGGCTTGGTGAAGAGGAAAGGAGATGTTCAAATAGGTATATTTCTTTTTCCAAATCTCCGCTCCCCTCAACTTGGAGGTAGATTTGGACATTGGAGGTAGATTAATCTATTTTTTATTGTGAAAATGAAAATGAAAATATTTATTGCCAGAAATCAAACAATACACTAACTAGACACTCCACATTAGGCATTGCCTGTCCTTCGGAAGAAAGAATAACGATTAACAGCTAGAATTAGTACGGCTAAGCTGAAGTGTTCGCTTCGTAAATCTGATAATTCAAAATTTCAAACACATCTCCTCTCCGCTATAGTGGAGTGCAAGCCTTACTCAATTTGCGAGCGAGTTGTTAACTTGAAACCCTTCAAAGGGATAGGAAATGAAACCCGGTAAACCTTTCAAAGTTCGCCAATATTAGATCTAAAATTGTTAAGAAAAAACATCAGAGAGTTTAATCTCTAGAAATAAGATGTCCCTCGATTGTTGTCATAGATGATAATAGAAATCTACATATACCTACTAATATTATAAATGCGAAAGCAACTCTGTCTGTCTGTCTCTCTTTCACGCCTAAACTACTGAACCGATTTTGATGAAATTTGGCATAGAGATAGTTTGAGTCCCGGGAAAGGACATAGGATAGTTTTTATCCCGGTTTTTGAAACAGGGACGCGCGTGATAAAGTTTTTCTGTGACAGACCAAATACCACGCGGGCGAAGCCGCGGGCAGAAAGCTAAGTAATCTATAAAATGTTTTCTATACTTTAGAGATCAAAATCAATTTTAACAATGAAACTTAAAACCGACTTCAAAAAATAGCACGAAAAAGTACTACGACAAAATATCATGATTGATTGAAGTTCTTTCTTCTTTAAAAAAATACACAGTGGAAAATTTATAAATCTCCTTTTTGACTCGGTTAAAATTTATTACGTAACACCTTGCGGTTGATTGATGTGATTGTAAGAATAGGCGCACACCGTTGATTTTTAGTTGGCCGATAGTTGTTGTGCCCGATTTTAATTTGTATGAAGAATCGGCCAAATCGAATCGGCGTAGTGTGCGCACTGCCAAACATGCCCATACTGATCAACTGCCCGACTAAACTATCGGCCGACGAAAAATCAACGGTGTGCGCCTACTCTTAATGACGCGACGTCGTAAAAGCACACAATACATAGGCTGGGTTGCACCATCTTACTTTACTTTGACAAACGTCAAAAATCTGTCAAATTCCATACAAAAAACTACGACGATAAACGGTATCGGTCAAAGTTTTCATTTCTTGTAAATCTAGCAAAAGTGTGACGAAACGTCTTTTTGACACAATCATTATTAAATAGGTACCTATTATATGTACTTAAAGGGTGTTTTTTAGAGGTATACAACTTTAAAATGAAATAAAATATGTTTGATTCACATGGTATTGGTTTTGTTTAAAAGATGTTCTTATGCCATTTATGCTTCAAAATGATTTGGGGCCAAAGGGCGCCACGGTTGGCTCAAATGTAGCGTAATCGAGATGTCCAATTTTCAATTTCTTTTTCGAGCAACTGGGGCCAACATCGGCAATAACGTGACGAATGTTGGCATTGAATTCCGTAGTTTATCTGCGCAGTAGTGGACTTCACATATCCCCAGAGAAAATAATCCATGTGTGAGATCACCCGATTGTGGAGGCAAATTCAAAGATCTTTCCCGCAATAAATTGAATGTGTCGCGTGCTGGTTGGATGATAACACCATCTTGTTGAAACCATAGCTCTGCCACATTAATATCATTCATCTGAGGAAAGAAAAGTTACGAAAATTACGTCGACCGTAATATGGACGTTTGTATTTTAAAACTGAGCCATAATTTTTAAAACACATTTTTGCACAATTTGCAAACGTTGTTCTGAAGTAAATCTATTTAATTATGAAATGGCAAAACATACTGTCCACAAATGTACCACCAACTATCAAATTAAATATCACTAGAAACAGTGTAACCAATTAAAAGTTGTATACCTCTAAAAAAACACCCGTTTATTATTTTTTGTCACAATCGCAAATTCAGTGGTCCAATGGGCAGGGCACATACCTAGTACGCAGAACTGACGGCCGATGGGGCAACAAGGTTCTGGAGTGGAGGCCGCGTTCCGGAAAAGGCAGCGTGGGACAACAAGGTGGACCGACGACATCATAAAGGTAGCAGGAAAGCGCTGGACGCAGGCCGCTACCAACCGGGCAACATGGAAAGCATTGGGGGAGGCCTATTTTCGGCAGTGGACGTCCTATGGCTAAGATGATGATGATGACGATTTAACGTTCCATTTAGCTGTATGTCTACCAGTCGTTTCAGTTAGTCTTAGTACCTCCTTGGAATAAACAAACAATGAAAGACACACTTGTTGCGTGATTCTCAGTAGAAAGAAGGGAAAATTCGATTGCTCAGAATTCCAGATAATAATTAAATTTCCGTAGATAGATAGAGCAATATACCTATTTCTCAGAAATACGAGTGCCTAATTTAGGTACTTGAAGTTAAATTAATATAAAATTCGGTATTAAGTTAATTTACTATGATTTGTATTGGATTTAGATTGTTTTTAATAGGTTATTAATTTATAGTATTGAATATTCACGCTAGTCGTGCGTGCCACTCTAGTGTTTCTAGAATGTTTTTTTTTTATGCATAGGCAAGTATTTAACCACAATCGCACCTGGTGTTAAGTGGGATGCAGTCTAGGATGGTACATAAATCTGCCCTGTAAGTGCCCCTATTCACTATCGCCTTGAAAAGGCCCGGATTATAGTCTTCGGGAAAGACAGCAACAGGAAGCGAATTCCAGTTCCTAGCTGTTCGCATTATAAAAGAGTCATCGAAACGCTCAGTGCGAGCTGGTGGAATGGTCTTTCATCCGTTTTTTTACGTCGGAAAAGAAAATGCATTAGCTGCTAACCGCGGAGACGACAGGAATAGTGGAGCCTATCCAAGACGAAATGAAATTAATAATTTTGGAAATAAATCAAACGAACGTGAGCTAGTAAATAATAATTTCGCGCGCTAATAGCTGTTTCAAGGCCGCCCGCCGGGGTGGCGTTGCCTAGCAACGGGCGACGCCATCTTCGCGCTCCTGTCAATAAACGCGGGAAAATCAACAAAGATCGTTATCAATATTCGTGTATTTCACATCTTTGATGGTATTTTAAGGCTTGGTATTTCTGCTAAAGTAGGTATTTCGCGCTGTCAAAATCTGCGCGCGCAATTCTTCGCCGAAGACAGCGCGCCAAAGAGCTCTCGCGGCTACACAGTATAGAAATACGCTGTTTAGAAATACGCAGTTGGTTAGGTTAGGTTGACTTCCTTCCGTTCAAGCGTCACACTCACAGCACTTTCTAATACAAATCATATCCAAGTGATACAAATTAAAACAACTTTAAAAAATTTTGGGAATATATTTTAGAATCGAATAAATATAGAATATAACTGCCAAAGTAAACACGGTTCAAAGAGGCGTGGCGTCACCCGACCTTCCGGAAGTTCCGCGCCGGCTAAAAGAATTTCAAGATTACGTCACCCGACCTATCGGTAGATCCTCGGGAGCTTGAGCGATTGGAAAAACATTTTATGATCAGTTACTCGTAGTAGCGATTATTTAGAGCTTGGATAATAAATTATAGTTGTTGCAATTCACAAAGCTTTGCATGTGGTTAATTACATTAATCAGTACACGCATCAATTTTGTTCAGTCTTTTTGTTTATTAATAAATAAAAATATCATACTAAAATTGCATACATATTTGTTTGTATTGGTCTGGGTGTTTTCTTTCCATAATTTATGTATAACGTATGTACGGGGCTCTGTATCGAAAATCACTATGAGCAATAAGCATCACACACGGTTACCTGGAGTGCATTACCGCAGCAAAAAGCTTGCCATCTTAAATGAACGGTATAATATCGAGGTTTCGTCAGTACAGTTGCGAACAAAGGTGTTTGTGTAGTGTAGTTGAGTTGAGAGGTCAGATTATTGAAATAATAAAACGAACATCGACAAAACACAATTTTACAGGAGAAGAGATTTAGTGTCAATTTTGAATAATTCTAAACTACGAGGCGTATCAAAAAACGGTTTGTATATCAAACGATGCGTTATTTTTTTCTGGAGTAACATTTAATGTGCATAAGGTTATAGTGCTTAGAATATACTTTAAAAAAGGTAGAAATACATATTGCCGCTTCATATATTGAAAATCGGGTCCGTAAGAGTCCATTGTGGTTTTATTCCGGTAAAAAGTGTGCAATTAATCAAACAGCAATAGTGTATTGCAGCCTCGGGCGCTGATCTGAAAGATACAGTAATAGCCGTTTGCTTGTAGAAGATTTAAATAAAAGTTTTAACATTGTATATGGCACGATTATTCCGGTCAACAAATTTTAAATGATGAATGGGAATAACGATTCAATATCCATAGTGCTTTTGGTGAATCAGGCAGTTTCAAAGATAAAATTCTGAAAAAAATTCAAAAGGTGTATATGGACCCGCAGTTTACTAAAATCACTTAATCGGAAAACTGCTGCTATGGCTATTGCGGCTTTATTCCAGGCACCCATCGATTTTATTTTTTAA